AATACTTTTGAGACCTACCCTTTGCTTGATGATTTCACCCTTTTCTTTAAGGGTGACCGTAGGGCTGCCATAGAAGTGACTAGGCCATCAACACTGTTATCCTTAAAAATACAAGTTGGAAAGTATGTTAACGACTACAGTGTAGGGAAGAAGCCGTTTACAAGATAAAAAAGAACACTTACAGTTTTTTCAGGGCTTTTATCGTTACACCTTTTCTTAATAGTTGAGGCTTCTTTGTTCATATTTTCACTTGGTCTTAGTTTCTAAATAGTTGTGGAAGCACAGTACATCAATTGCTTTACAGTACTCGTTACACTGTAACATATGTCAAGAAAGATCTACGTTACCACAGGATCTTGGCCATCCGCGTCGGCTGCTTCTTCCCCTTCACTGGAACTTATTTCTATGGGTWACGTGGATTTATGATTCTGAAAGGATTTGTTTGAAAAACATATATGTCAATAAAAAAGCAACGAAAATAAGACGTAAAAGATATGGTTAACACCACCAACCCTCAAGGGAACTTGTCTGTGCGCTTCCGATGGCTGTTCCTCCTCATCAGAACTAATTTCGATTGGTAATGGTTTATCAATCTGGAAAGATTTGATAGCGAAACACAATTTCAAATCYTAGATTCAAACGAAGCAACGGAAATAAGACGTAGAAATATGATACCACTTACCCCCATGACTTGTCCCTTAAAGATACTCACACCAGGATTATACAATTCTGGTCCACTGTGATGGAATGTGGGTGCTCCTCGATGCTTCTCGGTATCTGTAAAAAATGGTTTTATTTGTGATCATTACTTGAATATYTTAAAAACTGCAAAGAACTTTGTTTCCACAGACGGGAAAGCCGATATCAAAATCACAYACAACGAAAGAAAAGTTAAAGAGTTAAAGCACCTGAAGGGAATGTTGAGGAATATTCTTGTTTTGGATTTTAATGGATTTAATGGATTTTAATGGATTCTTGGCCATCAGCATATAGTGATTACCAGTAAATGCTAGGAAAATTTCACCTGCCTCGTTTYGATTAAAGGGCTTGTTCACAGTTAATCTCTGTATTTACCAAAAGAGGAAAACAATCACATGTATATAGTACCCATTTCATAAA